CTAAATCCATATATATTTTTTATAGACTAAAAGATCAACGGGTAGCAAGAGTTTACAAACAGGCGATGTTTATATTACAAGGCATTCAAATTTAGCACAAGTTCATGTAATTTTCCACATGGTAGTGAACGATTCGTTGCGATCTGGTAAATAATAAGTATATTTTTTTCTATTATTGATTTTTTAATTTGATAATAATTTTTATTAATTTATGTAAATTTACAGGCGATATCAATTCGAGACATCCGGCTATTTTAGGATTACGAAATATTTTAAAAACTGCTTGCTGTAATGATGTGACTACATTAACTATCCCTATACTCCTCGTTCATGAAATGTCGGAGGTACAATATATATTGACAAAGAATCAGATTTTTTATTTATATTTTCTTTATTAAAAAATATATTAATTATTTTATCATTTCAGGATATGACTGTTGCGTGGTGTACAAAAAGAGCAGAACTTGTTTTTAAATGTGTGAAAGGATTTATGATAGAAATGGCATCTTGGGGTGGTGCTGAATTAAAAAATCTTCAATTTCTAGTACCTAAGGTGATTTTAGGACAAAGATATATAAAAAAAAAAAAATTATCGCTCTGTTTAAATAAGATTTCCTAAAAACAAATATCAATATGTTTTAGGGTATGTCAGAGGAAGTATTCGGTACTCTAGCCACAATGTTACCGAGCATATTCCGAGTATCAAATCCATTGGTGTTTAAAGCAACGAGTACACCTCAAACCCCAAAAAAGTGAATGAACTTCTTGTTATTATACTTTATTGTTATCGTACACGTGTCAAAAATATTGAAATATTTATTATTATATATCACATATCATGGCGGCAATAAATCGTCGCAAATGCCAACACGATATGATCCCGTGAATAAATGCCTGACTTTTAAGGAATTGTTTCATTTATATTACATATATTATTCATGCGATATATTTCATTGACAGATAAACCAATTATTATTGCTATTTATTGCACAATAAGTTCAAATATGCTATTCTTCTTAGTAAATTAATTTTTCACTGACTAATATTCCAAATAGATAAAATGTAAATGTAAAGGTAAAGAGATAATATGTAAATATCTAAATTTACTCGTAAATATCATTTTTAAAATATCATATGTAATAACAAAAAATGTAATAACACAAGCATAAAATTTCAGATAAAACATATCTATTAAATGGCACTTTTATGCGTCTATAATTACAACAATTTGTAATAGCTTTGGGAAAAAAAAGTATTCAGACATGATCTTTGAAAATAAAAGATTTCGAGTTACGT